AACTCATTTAGAAAAGTAGCTTTGATACTAGCATGTATAGCATTTTCAGTGTTTTTCAGGCTGTGAAATTTACAGAGGTAAGCAATGATCTTCAATATTATTTTGAAAATCTCTGAGGAGTCGTGTCCAGAGTTAAAACATGAATTGCCAGAAACAAGCAGAAATCACATTTGACAGACGTCTGAATCATTTAGGAAATGGTACAACTTGGAAACTGATAAAATGGACAAGTCTTTAAATCATATATCCTTTCTTAGCTAATTCTTCTAACACATTCTATTTTGAGGTGTCTTCTATTCGGGTGTTAATTTCCTGTATTCGGGATTTTTCTAAATATTAGCTCAATCACAATATATTTCTTGTTATTTCTGACAACTCTTTCTTTGTGTAGGGTTATTTCCCACTTTCCTTCTCCGAGTCTAGTCAAATTGTCTAATAACTAGCATCTTCATATGATACTGTCTCAAAAATACTGGGAAAAATGAGGTTTATCATGGAATGATATATTGGAATGACTTGTTGGGTTTCCTTGAGTCTCCTGTCACTGTAGGTATCCTAATCAATAATCTAGATATCTAAGTCATTATCTAGAAATTTAATTTTACTTTTTCAGTGTTAAAACATGTTGGTCTTGGTTGCTTTCTTATTGAGTTGTAAAATGATACTACTACTTAATGCTTCATTCTCTGTTGGAATGGAATAACCAAGTCATACAAATTTTGACTAAAAATCTGAATTATTAAAATCTTATTGTCTAAGTATCCTTCTTTGAGGAACAGCAGATAGTAGAAGAGAAATATTAGATAGAATTTTTGGTTAAGACCATAGAGTGACAAAGTTTTACATCAACCAACTCATGGGAAAGTCCATATTTAAACTCAAAATTATGTCCTTTAGAGCAACAAGTGAGAACACCTCAAACTGGCTTTTTTTATGAAAAAAGTATAAGCTGTATATAAAAAAAAATTCCACCTGTTGCTGTTAGGTACCTGAAGCAAATTACGACTCATAGTGACCCTATGAAGCAAAGATCTGGTCCTTCCCCTCTCTTTCTCCATCCTTACAATCTGCACCTTGCTCAAGTTCATTGCTGTAATCACTTTGTCAGTCTGTTTCAATGAGAGTCTTTTTCTCCCTCCCTGACCTGAGACTTTCCCCAGCATTGTCATTTTCCAAGGACTGGATCCTCCCGGCATGATGCTCAAAGTATGTGAGACAAACTTTTACATCTTTGCCATAAGGAGCACCCTTGTACTTCCTCATTCAGAAAATGCAATTGAAAGTGCCATGGCTTGGATTGGTACACCTAAGTCTTTAAACTGACATCCTTGCTCTTTAGGGTTTCAGTGAGGTACTTAACAGCATATTTCCCAAATACAACCTATCCTTTGAAATCTTGACTACTGCTACCCTGGGTGCTAATTGTGGATCCAAGTACAATGAAATCATTGACAACTTCAGTCTTTTCCCCTTCTATCATGATATTGCCTATTGATCCAATGGTAAGGCTTTTGTTTTCTTCATGCTGAAATCCAATCTGTATTGGAAAGCTTTTAGACTTTAGTATTCTGCAGCAAGTATTTTAAGTCCTCTTAACTTTCTGCAAGCAATGTTGTGGCATGTGCACAATGCAAGTTGTTTATGAGTTTTCATTCAATTCTAGAACCACACTTTTTTTTTTTCATATAGCTGAGCTTCTTGTGTGATTTAGTCAGTGTACAGATTGAATTCTTTTGGAAAAAGGATACCATTTCGATGCAAATCTTTCTTTACTTTAACCATGCAGTATACCCAGTTCTATCTGGGAAGCTACTTTGTTGATTTTGCATGAGTAAAATTACATGTTCTGATTCCCATTATTCTCATTGATATCTGTAGTTTGTCATGCTGTCAAATTGCATGTAGCCTTTTATTTTGTCTGATGTTTTGACCATGGCATTTTTTTTGTCACCAAATTACACCTTTCTCTTATCTTCTCATTTCAACTGTCTACATCTGAGCTCTTTGTTTCCTTTCCTTGCTATTTAGGTTTTTTATTCTGAAATCTAACTGATCATATTAAGTATTTTGATCATGTTAAGTATTCAAGAACATTAATTCAAATAATTGTCATAGTCATCAATAAATTAGAAGGTGTGTTGTCACATTTAAAGGAAATACAGGAAATACCCAGTGTGATTCTTCCCTGAGATTTCATCACTGTTAAGTACTCTGCCAAGATACCCCACTCTTTTACCACCTCTTCCCATAACCCTTTAACTTGCCCCATTTTCCCAAGGTGTAGGTTCTGAATCTGTGCACATTCTGGTGTGAAGAACTCTTTTGGCTTATGGACTTGACTATTAGATTTGTCCGTTTGCCTCATTTATGTCTTAGTGTCTCTAGCTCTGCAACCTCAGTTGAGCTCTACTATGTAATACTGCATTGTATTCTGGGAATTTGTACTTTTTTTGGTCAACTGCTATCTCATGCTCATCAATTAACACTGAGACATTAATGATAAGTTTTCTTAACCCGTAACAATTTTCTCTTCCCAAGACTTATTTTGGTTTTTATCGTCTTTTCTCAGATTTCAAAATTCAAGATTAGTGTTCATTCATTCATTCATTCATTCATTATGAAAACACTTATTAAATGTTTTCAAAGCTTCTAATCTGGGAGCTTGTGGCGATCTGGCATTTAAGATTATTATGATAAAATATGGTGAGCAACATCCTTGAGATATTTACAAAGCTCTACAGAAGAATAAAGAGGAGAATGCAGATTTGTCAGCCACAAAATGCCAGACTAGTGGAGTAACATTTGCAAAATGTGAGGGATGGAAAAGTATGGCACAATTAAGGAAGGTCAGTCTGCTTGATGTGAGTAAGAACATGTGGCTGGAGAGAAAGATCATTCAAATATTGTCTGTATCATCTGAAAGTCACAGGTGTTTTTTTAAGCTGGAGTTTGGCACGATCATACTCTTGAGTTTATTGTATGTTAATGCCTCTGTTGTTGAATTATTTCATAATGTAGTAGTTAGAGGAAGGTGGATTGTATAGGATTTCTTAAACACAAAGCAGACTATATATGGTAAAGGCCTAGAACAAGGAAGTTGTAGTTAACTTGATGCCACCTAACAACAACAACAACAACAACAACAAAAGATTTGTAGGGACGGGAAAGAGAAAAAAACTAAGGTTGCTTGTGGGAATGTCAGTTCAAAGATAGTTTGTCGGTTTGCTTGGTTTTGGGTTTTTAAAGTTTTTTTCAAAGGAAAATTTTTTTAGTTCCAGAAATGTGAGCTAAAGGAAGCTCCCAGAAGGGAAGAAGAAACTAAAAAATCAAGAGCAAAGTGTTAAGAATAGAGAAGTCGTACTCTAGAAAAATAAACACATAACCTCAAATTAAAGGTCTATCCTTAAAGAAAATATATAAGGAAAATAGAAATATGTATACACAAAAAGGAAAATATGATTATATAGACTCAAAAAAACCTCTCTGTCTTGTAGTTGGTCCCAATCATAGCTGACCCTCCAGGAGGGATTGCAAAGCTGAGAAATGATGGAGAGGAATTTGTCCATCTTTCTCTCATAGAATGACTAGTGAATTCAAATTGCCAGAAGAACACAGCGTTAGAGTTAGCAGCAGAGTTCTCTATGGACAACACCACAAGTGTCTCTAAATGTATATAGACAGAGGAGTAAAGTGTTTTGAAAGCTCCATGGTGGATGAGCTCTGCATTTTTAATTCAACCAAGTCTCTTCTTGAAGGCTAGGATTTTGAAGCTCCCTCTCACATACTTTGAGCACATGGCCAGGAGAGACCAGTCCTTGGAGGAGGGCATCATGCTTGGAAAGTGGAGGGACAGTGTAGGAGAAGACGACACCAGATGAGATGGATTGATACAGTGATGGGGCCAATGGGTGTGGGTGTATTGGAGTCAGTGGACTGACTCAGGACAGGACAGGCTTCAGAGATACTGTACATAGGGTCGATATCAGTCGCAGGCAACTTGATGACACTTATCAACAGAAACAACAAAGAGTATAGACATCAGAGTCTAGACTTACAGAGCTACTAAGGAGCTACTGAAAATACAACAATTCATTTCACCCACAAATCTTGGTTGGGTGGAGACAGAAGTGGTCAGTGGTTTCCAGGATTCAGCAAAGAATAGTTGAGAATGGAGCAGATATGCAAAGAAGATGGCACAGGACCACTTACAATGACAGGACCTGCGGGAGCCAGCTTAACTTCTATGATCCTGTTTTATCATCTGTAAAACTGTCTTGTATTACACTTCATGGTGTTATAAATTCTATATATTTTAAACAATATTATGTTTAATGTGAGAGCTTCTTGTTGTTGTTGTGTACCATTGAGTCAGAACTGACTCACAACTGACCCAAGGTAGGTGGTGTCAGCTCGGGAAAAGGCAAAAAGGTTTCTAAGAACTATTATGTGGATTTAAAAAAGAGAGGAGAATGGAAGTGAGTAGAAGATTGCCGAGTATCTCAGTAAATAATAACAGTGTTGGAATTTGTGAAATGAAAAGATATGCTGTATTGGGAAAATCTATTGTCAAGGACCTCTTCAAAGTGCTAAGGGACAAACC